AATCTGCAGATTCTGAAAGATCTCACACCACAAACACTCAACAAACATCTTCTTCTGGTAATTTAAACTTGGGTTATGTTCTTGTTTATATTTGGCTCACTTGTCCACTAAATTCTGAGGCTCTAATCTTATGTAAAGCTGATTATAACTGGTGGATGTTGGAACTAGAGACATCTATCTTCTTCCCCTTATTTTTTTGGGTCATTTTTGATTTTTTTTTCTTTTTTGGTCTGAAAGGAAACATATTTAGCTACAACAAAATATAAAAAAAGAAAATTTGTCAAAAATACAACAAAAAAATTATAATTTGAAAACTAACAAAAAACCTTAAATCCAATAGCCTATAATTTGCTACATATCCCATTTTCTCTAACTTTTTAATTTTTTAATTTTTTTTGTTATTCACCCAAAAAACCCATAAATAACTAGATTTTTATTAATTTATTCTAAAGAAAAAAAATCTCTTGTCAAAGTACTGTATATGAATGATTGGATGGGCATTATTGGATCGGAAAGCTAATCAAATTTGAAACAATTATCAGTTCGGTTCGAATCCAGGTTGGTTGAAATTTAAACCTTCTAATGAAAATTATAGCCGACTAAATTATACGAACTTGCTGTTATATTTACATATTTAATTCAAATTTAGCACGAACTTTTGTTTATTTGGTTAGTTTTGATCGAACCAAATTCAAATTTTTTTTTTTTCGGATTAGAGTCAGATAATTTAGTTCAGACTCAACTCAAAAAGTTGATACGGTTTATTGGTACACCAACTTAAATGTGTTGTATGCAAACATATTTGGTTAAAACTAGAAAAAAATGTATTGTTTCTTGGCTAGTCTTCACATACTATAAATTATCCACTTTTGTCTTTCAATCACACGAAGATTTCTATTAAAATTTTACTAGTAATCTTGACAGAAAAATCAATTTTTAACGGTTCTTTATGAACCAAGAAACAATTATTTAATACACACTACTAAGCAGTCAAAGTTGTAGACTTTGTAGTCTTCTAGAAGAACTACTTTGTAAAATTCGTATAAATTGTGGAATCTGGAAATGTTTGCTTCTTCGGTTTTGCAGGTTACCTGAAGACGATTCTCCTGGTAACCTTCGTCGGAGCTTTGGCATGGGTTTATCAATCAATCCAACCACCACGGCCGAAAATCGCCGGCGTGACATCGCCGAGGATCAAATTGAGAGACGGAAGACATTTGGCTTACAAGGAATTCGGATTTCCTAGAGACGAAGCCAAATTCAAGATCATATATATCCACGGCTTCGATTCTTGTATGCGCGACTCACCTCTCACCTATTTCTTATCTCCGGTAAGTTTTTCCGACCACTTTCTTTAAAAAACAACAACAAAGCTTCCGTCTTTAGTGAAGCTTANTGAGTAAAAGAGGTATTTTTGTTAGGCTCTCGTGGAGGAATTGAGGATATACACTGTGTCTTTTGACCGTCCTGGTTATGGAGAGAGTGATCCTGACCCGAATCGGTCACCGAGAAGCATAGCATTGGATATAGAAGAGCTTGCTGATGGGTTAGGACTAGGACCTAAGTTTTATGTCTTTGGTCACTCCATGGGGGTGGAATCACATGGACATGCCTTAAGTACATTCCTCACAGGTACTGCATTTGACTCTGCCTTGTTTCTCATTCAATAACATTCGATGTGATTGTGCCAATGGATTCTGAGTTTTGAGTCCATCTCTTGGGCAAAGATATTAACTTTGAATCTTGAAACAACAGCTAAGATGCCATGTGAAGGGAGTTTTTGTTTTGTTTGTTATGGACTTTGTTAACAGATTAGCGGGAGCGGCGCTTATAGCACCGGCGATTAACTACTGGTGGAGAAACTTACCGGGAGACATAACAAGAGAAGCTTTCTCTCTTATGTTTCCTGCAGATCAATGGGCTCTTCGAGTAGCTCACTATGCTCCTTGGCTTACATATTGGTGGAACACTCAGAGATGGTTCCCATTCTCCAATGTGATTGCTGGTAATCCCATAATTTTCTCCCGGCAAGACATGGAGGTCTTGTCTAAGCTTGGATTTGCCAGACCAAATCAGGTACAAGCCCATCTATAGATGTTTCGTTTTAGGTATTTGGAATCTTGGTTTCCTGCAACACTTTTGAGGAAATGATTTTGGAATTCAAGTGATGTGTTGATTGTTTGTTTTGTTCAGGCATACACAAGACAACAAGGTGAATACGAAAGCCTACACCGAGATTTAAATGTTGGATTTTCAAGCTGGGAATTTGATCCGTTAGATCTCCAAGATCCATTCCCGAAAAACAATGGTTCGGTTCACCTTTGGCATGGCGACGAAGATAAGTTTGTGCCAGTGAAGCTTCAGCGTTATATCGCATCAAAGCTTCCATGGATCCGTTACCATGAAATGTCTGGATCAGGACATTTGTTACCTCTTGTGGAAGGTATGACTGATAAGATCATCAAATCACTTTTGGTTGGGGAAGAAGAGGTAAGTGAGAGTATTGAAGCTTCTGCCTGAGTCGTCAGTGTGGTTCCTATTTTCTTAAGGACGAGTAATTGCTTTGTACTATACTATTTTTGTTGAATTTCAGACATACAGTATATTTTCTGCTTGCAATGGCTACAACAAGTACAATTATGATAAACGAATATTAAATTATTTTATATTAATGGATATAACTTCCGACTTTTTGTGAAAGATAATAGAAGTGTGAATGGAAAACTCTAGTTGGAAAACCAAATTAAAATTTTGAGTTAAAACCTTTTTATATCTAGACTAAAAAAACAAAAAAACCTTTATATATTCGAGGTTCGAGAAATTAAAGCTAAATTTAGTTTTATTTTTGAAAGAAAAAATAAAGATATAGTAATTGATGAAATTCGAATTGGACCGTTTGGTCTTTTCATCGATTTGGAAATGGACCGAGCCTTTTGGACCGTTTATTTATTTGTTA